ACACACACACGCACGCACGCACGCACGCACGCACGCACGCACGCACGCACGCACGCACGCACGCACGCACGCACGCACGCACGCACGCACGCACGCACGCACACACACACACACACACACACACACACACACACACACACACACACACACACACACACACACACACACACACACACACACACACACACACACACACACACACACACACACAGACACACCCACACACACGGACACGGACACGGACACGGACACGGACACAGACACGGACACGGACACAGACACAGACACAGACACAGACACAAACACCACACACACACATACAGGTATGTACACAGGCCACTTGAGTGCCTACACATACTAAATTGCTCATTACAGTGCATTGCATTAAATGCATTGCATTATATACATTGCACTACAATACTTGTTTTTGACATCGCAGTATTTTGCATGTTTGCCTTACTGTGACATTTCATTGCCCTACATTGCATTGCAATAACATTGCATTATATACCATATCATCCTGTGTTTTGGGGAGCGCCCCCCCCCTCTTCAGGCGGCACAAACATGCGGGTCCCAACCACGGGCCGTGGTCAAAACATTCTGATTTGTCACAGTCGTGGCTCCCTTGGCAGGAACCCTTATGTTCTCCAAAACTGTAGGAATCATGATCGACCCCAACCAAAGTACATAGCAATATGATTTCAAGCAGACTTCAAGGGTTTTGGGTTCCTTCTGGTTTCCCTCTCATCTGGGCAGTCCTGGTTGGTCTGAAAGCTATTGTTTTGTTGGCGCCATGGGTATTGTGTCAAGGGGAACCCCCAAAATTTGTGCTTTCCTTTTCGTTTCCCTTTCCGAGCTGAAACACAGGGGCACCGGAGGTCGTTTTGGAGGTTCCAGGTACTGTACCCTTAGCACAAACCCGAGTCTCTCTGAGTGGGAGGGCGAGAACTGCTTGTGCTGGTGGCAGGCATTGGTGCCGCAGGAGCTGTGGGGCAACAAAACGTGGCCCGAGGCGGTATCGAAAAGCACCTGCAAACACGTGTGCCATGCACCCGTTTTTTGTGTGTTTTTCTGGGGGGGGGGGAGGGGTGCCGGCTTGCAAACTGTTTAACCTTTCAGCTGGCGGGGAAGCAAGCTTCCAAAAGAAGAAGGATCCAAATGATCTGCATGGCGAGCCTATCTTGTCCCGTGCTCGCCATCAACTAGGTAAAATTGTAAGAGGTTAATGCCATCCCCTGAGGGCATGAGGAAATGAGGAATGAGCTTTCTGGGTCCGAGTCAAATCCAGAAAATCTAAACCGATACCACCAAAACCCACCTGCTTTGCGGTTTCCTTGGTTTTGGTTCCACACCTGCAAACCACTCCCGGCAAAATGAAAACGAGCATATGCCCTTTCTATAGTCGCTGTGTGTCTTGGGTAGTTGCAAAGGTTCTCATAGGGCTTTCTACAGCCTCCGTGACACATGGTCGACCCACATTCCAAACTTGTCGGCTCTTCGGAACGAGCTGGAATGACTTCTATAAACTCTCCAACTGGCAGCCAACTGGTGGTTTCCTTTGTGGGGATCCTGGAGGGTTCATTCCCAAAACTGCATGGTCAAAAGTAGGCCATCTCCATGGCTGCTAGGAACCGAGGCCGGTAGGAATGGATTTTGCCCGCTCACTTGAAACTAGCATAGCGCTTGCAGCAAAACTCTGACCAAATTCGAAGTGTCCTTCCTTTTCTGTGGATTCTTGGGGATTATGCTCTGACAGTTGCCCAAAATGCTGGGAACACGGGATTCTGAACAGGAGAATCATCCTTTGGACAAAGGTATAACGGTCATGACTTCCTCCTGCAACTCAAATTCCGGTAGGCCCGCCCCAAGGCGAGGCCGCATTGGGGCTACCCCCTTTTGGCCTCAGGCCCATCAAAAGGCACCCCCCTCCCAAATAAAGGTGACATATTACTGGGGATGTTCCGCAGCGAGCTGACCAGTTTGTGCGCGTTCAAGAAGCACATCTACCATTCATCCTAGAGGTGGAAAAGAGCCTCCTTAGCCCCAAGGCCCCTTGATCGTGCCTTCTTGGAACTAACTTCTTTTGGGACGCCCGCACTTTCAACTTTGTCAGTCATGCCTGGGGGCACCCCCCTCCCCCCCACCCCCACTTCTTGTTTGATCCCCCTCTTTGTGTTTCCCCCTCACCCCTTCCTTTTTTTGACCCCTCCTCCCGGTTTTTGAACCCCTCCCCATGTTTTTGTCCCCGATTTTCTCAACAATAACAGGGAGCCCATCATTCCTTTCATAGCCACACAAAGTGATCAAAACTGCCGTTTCTGAGTTTCCCCAATGCTCGAAAAACAGTAGGTTTCCTCCACCATCCACTAGCGGCCCGTTTAGATTTCTGATCATGACGGACATGGGTACATGCAAAACAAAACCCTTTCTGCACGGTTGTAGGTGGACACCAAAAGGACACTGCCTGAAGCGGCCGCAAATATGAGAACTTAAGCCCCCATACTGTGGATGGACGAAATTTCGCACCACTCTGGCACCATGGGACACCCGTATTTGTTGGTATTTACACGGGAATCATCAGAAACCTGGGTTTTCTGAGGTGCAAAACGGATTTCGCAGCCATCCACGGTCTTGGTCTGCGTGCCCCGTTTCCCAGCGGAAACGCGCGTGTCCAAGCAACGCAAAAAGCTGCCCGCCGCGCCTGGAAGCTCTGGGCGGGTTTCCCCACCTCCAGGCGCCCCACGTAGAAGTGGACCGATTTCGACGCATCCGACGACTCCGTGGCGACCCGCTGCAGGCGCACCACCAAGGGCTCGGCTCCGGGGTCCTGCGAAGGGGCCCTTGGTCGTACGCGACATCCCCAAAACTACCCAGGGAAAGGGAAATCACTGGGACCCAAAGAAATTCTGAGACAGATTGACTTATTAAAAGGGGTCTCGTTGAGGGCTTCCCTTTGTGCTTGCTTCATGTGTTGAAACAAGAATGTTTAATAAACCAAACGACACGTGGTGTTTGAATTAGAAAAAACGGCCCAACCCTTTTGGGAGAACCGCTTCTGTATTGAAAGGCTGTTGTGCAAGGGCAGCTCGCCCCAAAAACGGGAGCAAGTTAATTTGGTCGGCTCTCCTCCGCTTGCGCGAAGACGGTGAAGACGCCGAAGACGATCGCGACCAGGGAAGGCATTGCAAATGAAGCTGCGAGGTGCAGGGCTACGTTGGACACAGAAAGCTACGAGGCTTCGCAGAGAATGGCTAACGGGGACAGGCCATTGAGGAACTCATGGCCCCGCGCTTCCAGATGCCATTCTTGTAGGTAACCAGGAGAAACCAGGGCGTACCACCTAGAGAGAAGAACCCCTGGGTTGCCTGCAGGTGGCTGGAAGCACCGGGTTGTGCTGTGCTAGAACCCCACTCCAACCGGGTAGAAACCACCCACTACCATGCCCACTGGGAATCGGAGGGTGCCGCACATCTCCGGCCCTTGGACCCCCGCCTCGCGCGATCCCGGCTCTGAGGATCGCTCCGATCCCGTCTCAGCAACGTTTGGCTCCTTCCAAGCGACCAACAGCGCTTCTACAAAGGGTGAAACAGCGGGACGAGGCAAAGGGAAACCAAAGGAACCCGACCAATTCCTGCCCCTGTGCTTTGGGTATCCTGAGCTACTTTCCTTCTGCTCAACACTGCTCACCGGGACATATGTTTTTCATCAAAGACGATAAGCCCCTTCAAATCATGAGATTTGGAGGTTCCACCTGCAAATGGACCAAACGCCGCTCCCTAGTTTGACACACACGCTCGCCCGCCCGACCGCCCGCCCACCCACGCACGCACGCACGCACGCACTGACGTACCCATATCAATGGTACTTTCCCAACCCTCAGAAGCTTGTGTTCAACCAAACCAATGGGGGAAAAACAAGAACATGTGCCCAGAACAGTCAAGCACCCAGTTGGGTGTTTCCGAACATGGCACAATTCTTGCAAAGGAAAGAAGATGGCCGACGGATGTATCTTGAAATAGGGGCAACCCCCTTGGCAGCAATGCTTATAATGTCCCCTCAAGGTGATCCTTAAATCAACCAAGGGAAATACAAGTATCTTGGCAAACTACAATTCACAACTCTGGCAATAAGGAAGGCCCCTAAGGAAGTTCCCTCCCCTTCCCTCCTCTGTCCTCCCCATAGATCGGTGGAGTCGCTCGTGACCAAATGTGAATCCAGTGTCCCCTCGAAATGAGACCTTGAACCGAGCTCCGAGGGTCCTCAGCCTCAGCTTCCTCTTCAGCCTCAACTTCGGCTTCGCTTTCCTGGGGACGGAAATTGGGGACTGCAAATCGCTGGAGCCCAAACTCAGATTCCGTTCAAAAGTTGCCCTCCCCTTTGGGTTGGGGTAGGTGGAACATACCAGTACCCCTTAGGGCCCCCCGGAACCCACGCGTTGCCACGGGTCCACAGAGCTGACAGGCAGGACATAGACTGGGATGCCCAGGCCTGCCGGTGCTGCACCACCTGCACTAACCTCGCGTCTATGAGTCAGTGTTTTCGGCTGCAATGGCTCCTCTTGCTATGGCTCTGATTCAAACAAAGGAACTGACTTGTCCAGACCCCAGTGGCCAAAGTCCAGGAACTCAGGGAGTCTGCAAATGAGCAGTCAGAACTGCTTGTTCCCCAATGGCTTTTTGTTTTGTTGAAATTTGGAGCTCCCAAATGAAGAGACACCGACAGGATCGCCTCTTTGTCCGGCTCCCGGCCGCCTCAGTGTCCGAAGCGCCAGAGCTCCTCTGAGAGAAGATGGACAACGCCCTCCACGTGCCTTGCAAGCTTGTTTCTTGTTCAAACACATGGGGATGTGGACCGCGGAAACTAGCTTTCCGCGTGCCTTTTGCTTGTGTTGCGAATAAGGCAACATGGGTGTTAGCTCAAAAAAGATACATCCAAAAATCATCTACCAAAGCCCAGAGCGGCCTACCCTTTATCTCGGCGCCATTTGGGCTGACAAAATGGCGACCCCTTTTGGGTCGCAAAAGGCACCCCTTCAAGAACACCGCGCGAAAGCGCACCCCCTTCAAACCAGGATCCACATGGGCTGGCCCGCTGATCAACCCTCCCTTCGCACGTGGCCGCCAGAGGGCGCGGGGATTCCGTAAACCGCGCGGCTGGTCTGAGCTCCCTGCGAAGCCAGGCTTCAGTCGTTTAAGCAGCAGCCTCAGGCAAGCTGGGTAGGCGTCAAGTCTTTTGACAACCCCCTCCCCCACAAGTTTGGCTTCGTAAGGATCCTGCACCTTTGACCTGCAACATTCTAAAACCTGCACCTTTTACCCTCAAATCAAGGCTTCCTTTCTTTCGACAGCCGCCCTCCATGTTGGAAAGGTTGGAAAGCGGCTCTTGAAGGCCCGCCTCTTCCGTGCCGGCTGGACATCCGCCTGGGCAGAGCGGATGTAACCTCCAAACGTTCGGGTGAACTTGGCACAGTTGCCTGCCACGGATTCCCTCCTGCCCACCCTCCGAACCTCGTTCCCTTGTTAACCCCACTCAGGTTCCCGGCAAATTGGATTTGGAGGTGTCCTCTTTCCAATGTGAACGCTTTGGGCCTTAAGAGGATGGTGGTCCAAAACCTTCCGAACGTCCACTTCCATGATTGCTCCGGAAAGGGTCGGGAAGACTGGACACAAGCTATATGCATCCCAACTTTAAAAGTTGTTCTAGGGAACCATGGGCTCAGATCGGGGACCCCCGAGCAAGATCTTCGCCTTGCCTTGGTTCCCCAAAACAACCCCCGCCCACATGGGCTTTGGCTTTCCTTTTAGTCCCCCAAACAAACTTGATACGAAACTCATCGCGAAAACAACTACCTTGGGAACTTGAACTGAATGTATTCACTGGCTCCAAGAATCTCAGGATCGTTCCCTAAGAGCTTGGTATGAACCAAAATTGATGCTATTCAAGGAACCAGGCGGAACAACTCAGATTTCGGCTTGAAACCCGGGACAGCTTGCGGCGTTGCTACCCGGCCTTCTTGATGCTGGACAGGTCTGTGGTGTACTGGTTTCGGATCCTCTCAGCCTCCTCCATCTCCTTACGAATCGCAGCTTGGCGGCCATGCAAGGGCACTGACGTGTGGAGTCCCCTTCTTGGCAGCCGCAAACCGCCTGAAACCAAGAACTCGGATCGAAGTCAGCTGATGTGGTTTTTGCATTTTTTTTGGTGGGCTCAGCTGGTATCCTTTCAGGAATCCTATGGACACGGGATTTGTTTGAGTCGGTCTGGATGTTTCTTCAGTCAGCCCCCGTCTGCGCGAATTGACCATGTCATTGGATATTTCGAGCAAGCCTCTACTTGTCAAGGCCCTCGAATGGGCATTACTTTTGCTTCTTTACTTGGGGATCCTTTGGTGGCAAGATTTACATGAGGATTTCTGCAATCAAATTCCATGGCCAAATGGTTTTGCCTTTGTGCCGGTTTCCTTTTGGCCCCGTCGGTCTCATTGACACCGGACCCGGCCTCCTGGCTAATGGTGCCATAGGACGCAGCTCCTCGATACTTGGTGTTCACCTCGCCGGCCGGGGACGAGTGGCTCGGGCAAAACTGTTCGCAGTTGACAGGGGCTTCATTCCACCTCCAAGAGACCCTGCGACAGGCGGTCCCGCACCCAAATTGGCGTGTTTGACCCTCTCATTCCAAGAAGCTGCATTCCACCTCGGCCACAAAGCTGGCGGCGTCTGATTCCCTACTAGGAACCCTCTCAAGACAGGAAGTTGCCCAATTTTCTTTGGACCCCTTCTCGGCTCCATCTCGGGGCAAAGGGACACGCCTGTTGTCTTTAAAGGCTTTGAACAATCGTGAGGACCACAAAAGGAGTTTGACCAAAAGGGTACCAACTCAAACAGAAAGGAATCACCCAAGTCTCCACTCAATAGGCGGCTTTAGACATCGGCAATGTGGTTGCCATGTCAAAGTGAGTTTCCCTTTAGTTGGTGATGTTTTCAGGTTGCAGATATGGGGAACCCATGCCATTGGCGGATGTTTTCCTCTACCTGGTTGGTCGAGGGAAACGTGCATGAGCACCCGAACCCCAAGTAGACTGGGGCGTTCAACCAACTTGGTAGGGATAACCATGGTTACAGGCGGTACTATGCGGTACTCCCCTTTTGGCTCTTACCCCTGTGAGCTTTAGACACCCCTTGCGCCTTGAAGCCTTGCCGCAGGTCCGAAGCGCCTTTGGCTTCGACCCGCACCTGCAGTCCGTGCAGCTGGGCAGCCGGTAGTCGGATTTTTGCGGAGTCGGTGTCTTCGGATTCCAGCCCCCCGTGTTTACACCAAGTGCCACGGGGTTTCTGGGGTTTCTTAGGATTGGGCCTATCATTTTTCTACCTCCAAACTCATAGTATATACCGCTTTTTCCCCTTGCAGGTACTGGTCTGGGGTGGTGCAAATCAACTTAGACTGTTTACGCACGTTGAAACATGGGGAGGGTTGGGGTATGCTCAAAATGTACAAAGCAGCACACTTACACGCCTTCTTGTTGACACCTCAAACGCCTATTGTCTGAACAGCCTAACTTCAACGATTCTTGCCCAACCCTGGTTCTTAAGGGGGGAAGCAAAGGTTGGTGGCGCAGTCTGTGGACCCCCCCTCCACCGTGTGGGTTTGGCTTCCGCGACGGGAACTTTGGCAACCGCCCATCTATGTGCCACGCACACCGGGAGGCGGGTTGGGGGGTCCTGCTTTTGCGCAAGCTCGAGCGGAAAATGAGCAAAAAAAAGTTGACTTCAGACTGATCTCATCAGCAGTGGTTCCCCCTTCACTAAGGAAATTCACAAGATCAGAAGACCCCTTTGATTAGTGACTCAGCAAGCGTGCGTGCGAACCAATGTTGGCAACGTTTCAAAGGAAACTCATTTTGCGGAGCCCTCCCATTTTGAAAAAAACTACCGAATCCGTCGCCAGGGATGCTTTGGTCCCAGCCTTCCCCTCGTGCCGGGGATTCCTCGCGCACTGCCTTGGTGAATCAGAGCCAAGTTGAGTTGATCCGGACACATTCGTTGGCCCCCAAAACAGGGAAACCGGACAGAGAACCAGCCAGTTTTTGGACAACGGATAGCTCTCTTCAGCTGTCCATTTGCAGCCATTGTACTAGAGCCTCCATTGTTTTTGAGAATATTTGTAAACATATGGGGCACGATACTTCTGATAAGAAACCAGGCATTGAAGAAGGCGAAACAAGCCAGCCTTCCTGACTGCTTTGCTGTGTTTGTGTTGTTTGGGAGTCCTGCTTTGGTTGGCTTCAAAGGGAAACCAACAGGAATTCAACCATCTTGGGTCGGTGTAAAGCACACAAATGAGGGTGGCTTTCCGAGTGGTTGGCTCAGGTGAAGCCACTGAATATCTATCCAGGCCTTGCCAGCCTGAGGTGGCGTTTCTCAATGCAGAAGGTACTGTGCAAGTTGTCAGGACTAGAACATTGGACTGTCAAGCGACGCTTCAGCAAAAAACCGCGTGCTGTTTCCAGCAGATTTCTTTGGACGCGGATGGCTTTTGAGGGTGTCCAGTCCTCTTTTTGTTTGGGGGTACCGCTGTTTTGGTTGATGGCAGATGACCAGGGCAGGCATTCTTGATTCCAAGGCTTGCTTGGCGGTTTTTAGGCCATGTTCTAATAAAAAGGATCCCTGAGGGGGGCCCCTCCCATCTTCACTCAGGCCTCGCGAAAGCCGCGCAGGCAGCGCCTCGGCTGCCAAAGACGGGCGGCGAAACGGATTTCACCCGGGGCAAGTGGCTGCGTTTTGCCGGGAAACTGGAGGAGAAGAGGGTGAAAGTCTTAAAACATGAGCCAGTTGTGGCAATGCAACCAGACCAGAAAGGGCCCAATTTCTGAAGTTCAGCGGAGGCTTGCCCTTTTCGATTTCCCTCAGGAAAAACTCGGCAAATCTGATCAATTCAGCACTCAGGGCCCGGTCAACAGGATCACATCCCCATCAAACAACGGCATCCAAAAAGGGCTCCAAATTTGGACTCGGCAAGACCTTCCACCTTCTCGGCGGAAGGTTAAAAACCAAACCTGCCTTAAACCTGGGGTGCCAACTCACATTTTGTGTCCAAAGTGAGGGTGCAAAGATCTGACCAGAAAGACGCCAACAGGGTTCCGTCTTTTTGACTACCTTGGTGTAGACTTAAACCCGGGGGGTTCCCTAGGGGGAATGGATTTCAGTCTGCCTTGTAGTCAAAAAACGGAATGGCCGCCAAGCCTTCATGGCGAGGCTCAGGTCACCGACCGCGCAGTGTGGTCGTGGCCATCGTGCGACCAGCGGGTTGTGCACCGTTCGCCGGCGTAGGGCCTCCAATATGCAGACCTGCAGGGTGATTCTATTGGTTTAGATTTGGGATTTGGAGGAATTTCCCAAGCACCTATTTCAGGCTTCATGACAAGCTATGTATATATATATATATGTCAGAATCAGGGGACCAACCCCAAGCTGACCAAAAACAAAACGTGAAACAAGGTGGCGCTCTTTGTGCTGGAAACGGCGGCTTTCCTGGAGTTGTCGGAGTCATCTCCGGGACGTCTGCACCCAAAGACTCATAAGTCATTCCCCAAGAGAGGTCTGGTACAGTGGGAGGAAATCCCCCCCCATTTCCTGTTGCCTTAGACTGACCCCCTGCCCAGGGTTCCTCAGATCTCCGGTGGCCATGGGAAAAACCAGGCGGTATGGCTGGAGGTCGGGCTGTGATCTGACATACCTCCCACCCCAAGGACATCAGCACCTCTGCCGGGACTGCCCCTCTTCCACTTCTTCCACTTGAAACCATTGAAGGGGGTTATCCCTTGAGACATATCCCTTCCCCATTTCAAGGGACTCGCAGCGACGCTACCATCCCTCTGAGCTTCAAAAGATCGTTCTGCACCTGGAAACTGTCCCTACTGATGGACAACATCCTGCACCACTTGGGACGCCTGAAACCCTAAAGCTGAGACAGTTAAACCACGTAACTGCATACAACCGCCACGCACGGTGCTTACCTTCATCCACCGGCTCAACTGGCTCCCCTTGGCCGCACACGAGAAATCGATATCGACACGAGAGTTCTCCCCCGCCTTGTGTGGCTTGGGGGCTCCAGCGCCAGCATGGCATGGCCAGAGCAATCCCTCGAAAATTGACGGACGGCGCCCTCCATGTTGGAGACGGTCTGCTGGGCCTACTGCAAATGGCACCAGGCACAACCTTGAGGTGTCCTTTCGGAGAAAAAAGCAGACAGCACTGGCAAATGAGCTGAGACATGCGAGGCCAATCAACTAAACAGCGGTCCCCATAGCAACAAAAACACAAAATCGAATGGCAAGCTGCTTGCATCTGCTGGTGAGCCATTGTTGCATGCTTTGCTGATGTCGCGCGCTCACCGCAAAGCTGGGATCAACGCGGGAGCCGAATGAATCGCGGCGCAAAACTAGAGGACCCAGGCGAAGAGAATCAAACACGGGTTGCTCCAAACACATCAAATACCATTGGCCTCAAATTAGCCCAAATGTGAAGCCCGTTTATGGAATCCTCCCCCATCTGGCTCTCAGATTCAATGCCGATCCAGGTGGTTCCCTTCGAGTGAACCCCACTGAGAACCAAGCCGCAAGGCCGCCAGAACTGCAAGACCAACGATCCCTCGCGCGCCTCAGCACGGCACCTGGCAGGCGAGCGGCGGTTTGTTGGCGTCGCCGGTTGGCCAGCTCTAAAAGTACCGGCTATTTGCAGTTCATAGAAGCCACCTGGATCGCCAGTGGCTGTTTTTCCCCACACACTTTGCCCCAAAAACCGATCGCTGACCGAAAAAAGCGGATCGCAACTTGGCTATCTCGGCAGGAGAATGTGCGTGTGAGTCCTTCTTTGGAGCACCTCTGCCAGGGCGAACTGTGATCCAAGCGAACGCGAGCTCGACGGCCTTGCTCTCGACTCGATGAACTCCCAGGGCGAGTCTGGCGATGGCTTCCGCCCATGGGGGGGCCCCCGGCCGTGGAAATCATGCGGAAACCGCCTTCGTCCGTCCACTTTAAAGGGAACCCCTTGCCCTAAATATATATTTTTTTTTTAGAAAAAAAAGGGGTGCGCTGGGCAACTGGGCTCTTTGCCTTGCTTGCAGAAAAACAGGGCCGCGGCACCTCAAATCATTTCGCATGAGGCGCACACCCCAATTCACAGCGTAAAGAAAGAACGCATTCAGCTCCAGAGGAAGCGTCCGAAATTTGGCAACGGACCTTCTTGGGACAGTGTTTCAAGGGAACGCGATGACATTTTCCTGGCTGAAACAAAGAGAACAAATGTCATGCTCCATCTGAGCGCTCCAAATTACATACTCCTCGACAATTGGAAGCTCCAACAGGGTGGAAGGAGGATGGTACGCGTGCCATGCCCGCATGGCGGACGAGAATGTACTATGGAATCACCCGAGTTGGCCTGCGCTGGCAAAACTCGCATTATTGCGAATGTTTCCCCACAATGACATGGGAAAGTTGGGCTTCGTCGCCTGGTTTTTGGTGGAGCAAATTGGGTGTCGTTTTTGAGGGTACCCTTTTTGGGGTGGTTGTTCGGGGGGGTTGCAAAGGAAGCTACGAAAACAAGCACCAGTCAGGAGAGGGGATGTTTTTTCTTTAGGCACTCGTTTAGAGCCCGTCCCCCCAATTCTTCTCATCGAGGGGCACCTCCGGGCAAGGAACATACGCCAGGGCCTGGCTGCTCCTTGACCAGACCTTGGAGGATGTCCTGAACCAGCGAACCACCGATCACGGCTTGAAGCAACGCTTCATGCCCAAAAGCACTTCCAGGTGGCAACGGTGGACCAAGCCAATTCAACACGGCTTGGTGCGCTAGCAAAACCAAGCCGTTTCAACAGACAAGCTCTCCTCCAAAAGAAATTGGCCGAAGGTGGACCAAACCGTGGTGACTTGGTGTCATGGGAACTAAAAGAGGTCCCGCCATTGCTGTTGGGCAATACTGCCCATGTAAAATGGAGGCCCCCGCACAACCCTGCACCCTGCACCTGAGCAGAACAGAAATTGGGGGTCGAAATCCCATCTGAATCTGGAAAAGGGTGCTTAGACACCCTGGTGAGGTCCCTAGAGATGTTCTCCCAGATGGGTTTGTTCCTACTGCGTATGTTCGAAACACAAGGGGGGGTAGTCGGCCCGCAAAAGGTTTGGGTTGGGGCCATTCCAAATAAACTCGACCCCTTTTCGCGACCACCCCTTCAAGAACTTCAAGCATGGGATGTTGATGAAAAAACTAAGGCCGACCCCAAAAAACGAAAGGGCCCTTTTGGAAACAGGGTCTGCAAGCTGTGCAAAAAACTCTCGATACAGCTAGGTGCTTGCTTTGGAATGGTGGGTTGGAGCAAATATAACAATGGCATTTAGACCTCCACTGGACGTCCATGCCCGTCCAAAAATACATGAATTGGCCTCACAAAGGATACCCACATACTGAAGCCTGGTTGTTCAAAATCGAGCGTGGGCAAATGCCAATCCATTTTGAGGGAAAACAAGAAAGACAGGGGCGGGGGGCTTTTGTCACCCAAAGCAAGGATTAAGGATTACTTTTCGCAGCCGAGATAGGGCCTCAACAACTCGAACTTTCCCGCGCATTAACACAGCCGCAAAACCCCTCCGTTTTCGAGGCGGCTCCTTTTCTTAGCTCTCAGAAAATTGGTTTCTGGAATGAGTTTGGGATTCCCTTCAACAGGGCTGGCTTTCTCTCCCTTACATACCCAAGAGAAAACTCAGCGAACAGCGGCAACCCCCAGATGCTTAGCGTGCAACCCCTGCTAAAGGAAGCCGCCCATTGGAGATTGGGACTCCCGGAGGTCTCCCTCCAGCGCCCCCAAACCAAGAGGGAAGCCGAGTCCCCGCCGAATGGACGAAATCCTGCACCACCTAAGAAACCCCGGTTTCTGATGATTCCCCTATAAATACCAACAAATACTGGTTTCCCACGTCCATCCACAGTATGGAACCACATCGTGCTCCCAGTCCTGCATCCATGCCAGCACCTGATGCTGTTCCAGGTACTTCTGCGCCTTCCGGAGCCGGGGCTCTGGGCAACCCAAAGTCAAGTGCCAATAGCCTGGAGCTTTCTGAAGGTTGGCTTGACAGGGAAGCCACAAGCAACACCGCCTGATGGACAAATCTAGCTTGGACACGTTCACCCCCAAACAGGTTGCCACTGCAGGCACCACATTTTGGCTTGCCACCAGACATCGGAACTAAGCGCGAAAGTGCACAACTCCATTGTTGGTGGGTGGGGGCAGGGTCCAACAAAAAGCCCCAAAATGGGTTGTCAAAATATGCTTGCTTTTGGAATTCACCCCTAAACAGAAGTTGATTACAAAGCAATGAGACTTTATCCGCAAAAGAAAGGCCAAGAAACTCATGTCCATGTTCATATGGGACACGGAAAATATGACTTGCTTCCCCAAAAGAATGTGGGAAAGATAGGGCTCGCCCCCCTCCCCCCGACAATTGTCGTTTTTGAACTTTAGAGCTCGTCCACCCTGTCCCACACCCCAAGACTGCTGACCATTTTGACCTGGCAACCAAAAGGTGATGCTTTGAGTGAACTCACTTGCCCAGACCTGGACATCAAAGGATGGACTGACTACATATGGCCCACAGGGAAACCGAAACGTTCGGTCAATTGGCTCTGGGCAAGTGGGAAGGGACAATTTGGCCGACCGTCCTGGCCACGAAACAAAACACATCGGCCGAATCGGCCTGGAGCCGCCGGCCTTTCGCATCCGCCTGCGCAGCTGGTGCAACAATGGGATTTTGCAGTGGGGGGAACGGTCCTCGCGACGATCACGACACCGAAGGGAACGCGATTGAATGGACTGGCCAACACAAAATGAAACTGACATGTATGTGTTCTACGGGTCTGTCTTTCTGCTGGGGGAACCCCTTTTTGTTAGTCTTAAACCGAAACCAAAAGGAACACATGCTCTCTTTTCTTCTCTTTTTTTGTTGGGGGGGGGGGTGGGCGGGGAGCGGGTCCCCTAAAGAAAGACACACCCATGCGTGTGTGTGTGTGTGTGTGTGTGTGTGTGTGTGTGTGTGTGTGTGTGTGTGTGTGTGTGTGTGTGTGGGTGCGTGCTCGTGCTCGTGCTCGTGCTCGTGCTCGTGCTCGTGCTCGTGCTTGTGTTTGTGTTTGTGTTTGTGCTTGTGTTTGTGTGTGTGGGTGTGTGGGTGCGTGGGTGTGTGGGTGGGGTGTGTGGCTGCGTGGGTGCGTGGGTGGGTGTTGGTGTTGGTGTTGGTGTTGGTGTTTGTGTTGGTGTTTGTGCATGCTGGTGTGTTTGTGTTTGCGTGTTTGTGTGTCTCTGTTTGTGTCCGTTTGTGTGTGTGTGTGATTGAAATACTTGTGTGTGTGGGTCGTCCACACGGTCCCAACTGGGTGCCTGAAGACTCATCGGGCTGTTCTCTGCTTCCCGGAGCCCGGAAAGCAGAGCTCGAGCCCACCGCGCCGGCAATCCATCCGAAGTCGTACTCCGCTTCTTCTTTTCCCTCAAATGAACGGGGAAGCACAAAAACGTCTCCCCAAAATGGGGTAAACAAAAAGCGGCTTTTCAAAAGGGGCTTCCTAGATCCAAGGTCCCGACATGTGCAATCCCTTGACCAGACTAAGACCTGGAAGCTGGAACTTCTTGCTGGTTGAAAGGCAAAATGGCAAGCGCACAACAGGGCAAACCGTATCAAAAGGTTTTAAAGGAAAGTTGAGCTCTTTAGCTCAGGAGACTTGCCCTCAAATTTTCCCCACCCATGGCTATAATCTTCCCAAGACCAAACTACCCGCCCCTTTTCCCATGCGAATTCTCGGCTGCCCTTTAGCAGCTCCCCAAGAGTCCCCCACGCCCGTCTGGGCGGGGAATTGGAAATTGCTGGGCCCTTTGAAGCGCCGGCCAGAAACCCCGCAAAAGGAAACCCTCCGAAAGAAAATGGCTCCACTTCCTGCTTGGGACAGCTCGAACTTTTTGCTTGCCACTAAGATGGTTGAAGCCCAAAAAGTATGAAGCCTGGCACTCAGGGAAAGAGTCATGGAACCGGACAGTGTCTGATTTTGCCATGTTCAAGATCAGGTGGTCCAACGGAAACCAGGAGCTCAAAGAAATTTACCCCCCCCCCCCCAGAAATAGCCAACACAATG